TGTGTGTGTGTGTGTGTGTGTGTGTGTGTGTGTGTGTGTGTGTGTGTGTGTGTGTGTGTGTGTGTGTGTGTGTGTGTTTTGCTGGTGCGATGTGGCGGCTACAAGGCATGGCCATGACGTGCTGTGTTCTGCTGTGTTCTGTCGCTCACATGTCTCGCTTGCATTCGTGTGCCTGCAACACAGCTTCAAGGTTGGTGACACGGTGTTTGTGCCACACCCTGACAAGACGCTTGAGACATGGAAGGGTGTATGCAAGGGCGAAATTGGCACGTTCCCTGCCAGCAAAGTTGCCGACACAAAGGAGCACACTGAGGAAGAGCTCGAGGTGTGTGTGTGTGTGTGTGTGTGTGTGTGTGTGTGTGTGTGTGTGTGTGTGTGTGTGTGTGTGTGTGTGTGTGTGTGTGTGTGTGTGTGTGTGTGTGTGTGCGTGTGCGTGCGTGTGTGCGTGCGTGTGTGTGTGTGTGTGTGTGTGGAAGAACGATCATCTGCGCTTTCACTCTGCTCACTTCGATCATGAACACAACGTACATCACTCCACACACACTCACACACTCACACACTTTCTCTCTCTCGCTCACTCGAACTCACACACACACGTACGCGTGTTTACCCGGTTCTGTGCACGCGCTGTGCTACGCTGCTTGTGCACATGTGTGTGTGAGCAGAAGTTGATTGAGGAGAACTCGAAGTTGACGGATGAAGAGGCAGCGGCAGAGGCGCTGGCAAAGCGGGAGGCCGCCAAGAAGCTTGCCCTCGAAAAGGTGCAGAGGACGAGGGGGAGTGACTGCATGTGTGTGTGTCTGTGTCTGAGTCTGAGGGACACACATCTAAGAAACCACAACCTGCAACTGCCCTCTGTGCTCTTTCTCTCACGCGACAGTCCTCTCCCTCTCTCCTGTGCGCTTGTGCGTATGTGTGTGTGTGTGTGTGTGTGTGTGTGTTTGTGCGTGCCATTGTGCAGAAGACGGCGCTGACGAAGGTCGATGACGCGGAGGTGGAGGCCGTTGCGCAGGAGATGAAGAAACAGACAGTGACGAGTGAACCATCAGCAGCAAATGAAGAAGAGGAAAGGAAGGGGGCAAAGGATGAAAGCACACAGCAAGGCGATGATGTACCTGCACCCACGCCTGCTGCGATGGCGACGACCACAACAACCGCCACCAATGAAGAAGAGAAGCCGAAGGATGACGGTGAAGTGGCAGAGGAAGCAGCACCAGCACAGGACGCCGTAACCGAGCAAGGTCGGTTTGAGCTATGCGCTGTGCGTGCGCTGCTTGATGTCCTGCAACACATCGTGGTGCTTCACGCCATGCCATGTTCCGACTCCAACCCGTATTCCCCTTTGTGCGCTGTTGGTCGTGTTTTTTTCGTTGCCACCGCCTGCGCTTGTTCTGCTTTTCTTCCGTCGCTAACCACCATCACCACTCATAACCATCTCCGTCACCCTCATCATCGTCACCACCAACACCACCAACACTGCCATCATCGCCGTGACCGCAGCCGCTGACGAGTTTGCCGGTTTGTCGGAGAAAGAGCGCAAGGCGCTTGAGAAGAAGAAGGCGAAGGAGGAGAAGAAACGTGCAAAGGAGGAGGCGAAGAAGAAGAAGCAGGTGTGACCATCATCGAACGTGGCGTGCTTTGACACGTGGCGCCCCTCTACTGTGGCGAGACACGATGCGTGATGGCAGTGGTGTGTTCTGTCGCGTTGTGCTTGAGTGCTGGTGGTGTACTCGCAGTCGTTGTGTGTGTGTGTGTGTGTGTGTGTGTGTGTGTGTGTGTCGCTC